GCTTCTATAGAATGGAGAGAAAACCCTATGGAAGTCAATGAGGGCTAATAACTGTTTGGTTAACCATATTCTTCAAAATATCTTCAACAGAAGAAAGAAACTCATACAGATGCACTAAAAAAAATGGGTTATGTTAAACAAACATGTATTTGTTCATGTAACATCATTGAATTAAGTAATTTTAAGCGACCCAATTTAAGTAGTCTCAACGCGAATTTTTAAAGGCTTCCTGACATGATTCATGTAATTTTTATATTCATTCATCCATTAGTATTTAATTTATATTAGCATCACATAATTATATTGATAGACTATAGCTAGCTATTTGCTAGCAGTAGCATATATTAGCATCCTAAATGCTAAGATTTACATGCTCCTTCAACCAAAGCAGTAGAAAATAATTAATTCAGTCAACAGCCAAACCAAATGCTCCACTCTTCTCCACAATGGTAACCCGCTGCAATTGTAATGGTTCTAATAATTCCAATGTAATTTAACATTAAACACAATTACACACTATCAAGTCTTCCCCTTTTTCGAAATTTCTCAAATAAACATAAAATAACACTTAGTTTTAACCTTTATTCTCTCTTAATTCAACCATATGCAATGCTTAGTGGGAACTAACAAGCACCGCACAGTTTCAGTTAATGCAACACCAATCAATCATGTAATCCAACACAAACGGATTAAGTAAACTTAAATTGTACATATATTTAAGCAGATTGAATACAATCAAATTAAGTTCGGGCAAAATGGCTGTTGGCTCGCGCTATAGTGCCTCCCTCTGGATGTAAGAATTTTGTACTTAACATAAATGGTTTGTGTTTTAACAACGTGTTAGGATTTTGTACTGTTAAGTTGAGACATAATTACATAGACCATAATAGAAAAAAAAACATTTCAAGTCAAAAAACACAATTATTGCAAGTATGTGAAGTGCACAACCTTCCTAGTTCCTTTTTTTTTTTTTGAGTATGTACAGCTTGAGAGTAAGTAAATGAAGACAGAATTTTTATTTTGGGTGAACTATCCCTTTAAGAAGCCTGGTGGGGACACAAGCACAGACACATCTAAAAACAAAACACATACTGATAAACAATGTTTTTGTTTTTTCAACAGGTTAAGGCCAGAAATTAACGATATACATGTACATTTTGTCGCATGAATTGCAGTGTTGACCAATAGAGAATTGCTTGATTTGAAAGGGACTTCTCTGTGAGCTGTGCTTCATATATCACAATTGACAATAGAATGTAATTGAACCTTTAGGGTTGCTACAACGGTCGCTATTTTAGGCATTAACAAATTGTTTTCTTCTATAGCCAGTTGGCAGGGTCAAATACTGTCAGAGCAACAGTTTAAAAAAAAATCTCACATATATACATATATAATAATACCGTTTAAGGTTAGCATCTGATCTAACGATTTAATGTGGTTGCAAAAACATTTGAAGGGGACACTACTGCCCCCTTGAGTATTGAGGTTTATCTCCACCAGCACAAGAACACGTGTTTAGTACGTTCAACGATATGTTCAGTCGCGTCTACTTTGGCATATTTGCGTAAAGTATATTATCTATTGACTTAACCCTGTTGCACATAAATAATCAGAAATAGACAACAGCAATTCACTAAAACAAACACACTGTATTTTTCCAATCTGACTTTGGCATTTATCCAGATGAGATTTTTGTGGCGGAATACATTATCCAAATTGGAAAAAGGATCTAAACACATGTGCTGAAGATGGAGGTTCGGGTTCAAATCTCCTATTAATATAGTGACAATAAACATTAAAACAATGTATGTTCCATCTCTATAGGAGCTCAAACAACACAAGCAATCCCCAGAATTATGATTAGTTTCGCCGGCACTGCTTTTGACGGCCTAAACCTTCAGCAGTGCACTTCTGCTCATTTAAACAATCAAGAGCGTTTTACCTCATTGTTATTCTGCACGCAAGCCATTAGTAATAATTAATCAAAACAAGCAAAAACAATAAAGTCCATTGTTGTTTTTCATAATCAGACAACTAATTAATTTGTATGAAGCCAACTTTCCGGCTTTCTCTCCAGTAGGGAGAACGACATGGAGGAACATGGAAATTTCTACTTCTCACTACACTCACTCCAATTAATACAGAAATCCATGTGGAACGCAATATTGTTTGTTGCCATTTGTGGAATGAATTATTCATGTTTTTTTGTTGTGGGAGTGTTTTGTTGGTAGATACATTTCTTTGCATCATCTTCTTTCTCATTCTGTCTCCCTCTGCTTGTTTTAACAAGACCCTGCAGAATTGAGCTTTACTTCTACACTTTAAAATGAAACGTTCATTTTTTTTTTTTTTTTGGTACATTTGCCTGTTCATTAGCACAATTTTAATTATATTGGCGCTGTATTGTTGCAAGAATGCGCTCAGTAATGTGTTGCAGGGGATCTTTGGAGACCTTTCACATTTAAACAAAACCCGAGTGCCGAGATGTAAAGCAGAACTTAAATTCTGCACGGTTCATTGGAACCATTCACAATGGCTTTACTTTGGGTTTTTGTGCTGTATGCAGGCATTGACAGAAAACACTATTGAATATGAAGCGGCGTCATCTGTATTTTCAGAGAGAGAAATAAATTGCGATGACCTTTCCATTTCGAAGATGTATGAAAGAGTGCATGTATAGTCACCCAGCAAGAGTGATTTAAACACATAACGGGAGCTCGTGACTCAAGGGAACAGACAGTGTGTAGACAGGAAAGGCTGAGTGGGTCCTTGGAATGCTGAACATTTTTTATACAATTATTTTCTGCGGGCAGGTGCTGCTTAATTGAACCTAAACGTGTGTCTGCATCTCGAATGAATCATCAGCGAAAGAGTCTTTCTCAGTTCATTATTCAAATGAAGGAAGTATAAGACTTCTTTCAGGGTAGAAGCAAGTTCCTTGATGTTTTACAGTTGGCTAAGCCTGCCCCGTACGTGCTGGGAGTCTGAAATCGTAACAGTGATTGTTAGTCATCTCCTGGTGAGCGCTACAAGGTTTAGGCATGGGCGAGAGTTCAGACACAGCGTTAGAGTCTGCATCCATGCCAAAATGCCCAGATTGTGTGCCAATGAGTCTGCGTGAAGCCTTAGGGAGGAGAAAGGAACTGCCTGAATTCGCAGCAGTGGGGGATGAGATGCCGAATAAATGAGAAATTGTTATTCATGTAGAATAAAGGAACATTGTTTGGAAGACCGACTTACATCACTCTGAGTTTTGTCTGTGCGTGATTTTCCACATGCAGAAGTTTCGAAACATGGATTGCGTACTCGCTGTTGAAGTAATGCACGGACTTTGAGACAAAACTTTATTTCAACCCAGAGACGATGTAGTCATTTGAGATGGCTGTTTGAAAATTCAATTCCCCTTTCCTATTTTGCATAGAGAGTGGAGTGGATCTCCATAGAAATATACAACAGAAATTAAAGGGGATAGCCTTGGAAGGGCTGTTTGAGTGTCTAAGCGCAGGGTTATTTATTATATTAAGCAATATCACACAAGCAAGAGTGCTAAACTTAATATCGGCTGTAATTTGGCAAGAAGGTAATATTACTGGTTTAATAGTAACTATAAATGTTGTTTTAACAAATTTATCAGTGTGTTTCAACAGGACTCGTTCATTTAACCCTCTGGGGACGGATTGGGCGGTACCGCCCAAAATGACACACTTTTACAAATGTGTACTTATCTTAAAAACTATTCATGATGGAGAGGTGCAGTCTTTTTTGGCATCTTCCTCAGATACCGCTGAAAACAGTGATAACTTACCCAGCTTGTATACACACTTCCTTGTTGTGCAATACCACTACGTCAAATGCCAATGAAATCGATGTTGTTTGTCAGATTCACGAGTAACAACCAATAGAAAAATTGCAGATGAAGAAATATTTTACTTACCCAATCAGGGGAAGGTTACAATGACGTATTCTAGCAAATCGGAGGACTCTGTAGCCTTGCAAGGGGTGGAACTATATAGTAAGGGATATGACAACAGTGTTGAGTGGAGGAGACGACAGAAAGCGAACGGACGCGTCGAGTATAAACAAGGCTTTATGGAGCGAGAGCGCGCTGAGATTTATATGAGAGAGAGACAGACGAATTATAATAGAGAGAGAGAGAGAGAGAGAGAGAGAGAGAGAGAGAGAGAGAGAGAGAGAGAGAGAGAACAGTTTTTGTTCAAAAACTGTTCACTATTGTTGTGTGATGTGTGATTCTCAGAAATAAATGACAAAAATTGAATTTCCGTTTTTGAAATTCTCTAGTATATTGTATGTTTTTCACTCATACTTCCTTTATAAACACATTACATGCATGCTTATGTTAGCTTAGGGTCTTCTGAATCCATAGATACCAAACACATAGTGTCCCATCTCCATTACACATAGTTCATACTGTAAGCCCAAATGTAAAAATAGAGAAAATGGACTAAAAAGGCCCCAGAGGGTTAAAATGACTTGATTTTTAATGAATAAATCAGTGTCTTTGAATTAATTGGCTAAATGAATGACTCAAATGACTTAGTCGGCCAGCCATAATCCCAGCAAACACAGAACGTTCCCCTAACATTCCCAAATGGTCCCATGAGGTTATATTTTTGGGAACCAAACAAGAACGTTATAGTAACGTTCCATGTAGGTTATTTTTAGGTTCCATTTTTATAACGTAAGGAGAATGTTCCGGGAACTTTCCCTTAACCTTAAGGGAAAGTTCTTCGAACGTTCTGGGAACCAAAAACTAACGTTCCCAGAACCTAAATTTGTTTTCTGGGATAGCACAATGATTGGAAATCAAATCTGTCTCTACTAGTGTCGTAAAAAGTTATGTTAAACCTTATGTGTACATATTTCCAAGGTTTGTTGTGCTGAATCATGTCGGTTGATTTGTACTACTTGCTGCTAATATCTATGTTGTGTATAAAAGTTGATTTCTTCTTCTAACCATCTCTGTTTTCTCTCACTTGTAGATACCCTGCTGTCATCTGGCCATGGTGAGTACTTGAGAAATCTGTTCCCTGATACAGCTCTGCATGACTCTGAATGTGCCAGATTTCAAATGTGATTATTGTTTCTCAATGTTGGTCCACAAACGCTCGTGACTCCATCCGACCGGAGCATCGCTGCGGCAGCAGATGTAAAAAAAAAAAAAAAAACTCCTGAAATTTACATTGCATACTTTCAGGTCGGTTGACTGACACTGAGAACCCAATCTTTGTTAGTGATTACTGAAGATTCACCTCTGCTCCCTTGGATCTGTTCGAAGTTTCAGAGCTGGCACATTTTCCCAGCATGCTCGTTCATTCATTCGCGACTCGGTCAATCACCCCTCGCGGTTCTATTGTACGGTTCACACGTGTTCGGTGCGGTCCGGCTGATTGTTGAAAGATGAGACGCTTTCCCTGTGAGACCCTGACAGACCTCTTTTTCATGTACATTTGACTCCATGGGGGGCAATTTTTAGATTCTATGTTTTTGCTATTGAATTGATGCTCTTATAGAGCCTCGTTGGAAGCATGTGCGGGATATAATGGACTGCGTGACAAGCATATAGTCCACCTGCAGAGCTGCTTGGGCCACAGGAAAATAACACCTGCGCTGATCATTTCCACATTCGTTTAGAGACGGAGAGAAAGAGAGGGAGGGGAAAAAAAGCATTGCAGAGTCTGCGCTTAAAGGGCAGTCCTGTCCTAAACTCGAGCTGTATATGTTTTGCACTCAAAGCACACTCGCCCACAATGCTTTGTGGAAACAAGATGTGGCACTGGGTTCAGTTTTTCCGTTTACTCTGCACTTTGCACGAGAATGGGATATGTGCAGGCCAGCAGGGTCTGTATTTTCAGGCCAGCACATTTAACTTTTTTTTTTGCCAGTGATCTTTTGTTAGTCGGTAAGCTGGTACAAATAGTGTTTAGCCCTTCAAGATTTCTGCAAATGCGCCATAATGGATAATTATATGGCTCATGCAAGCACTTTGAATAGCTTGAAAAGGATGTTAAAACTCTCTGCGGACCAGGAAACTTCTTTATTTTAGTATTTAAGGCAAGTTTTACTGTGTTTGTGTGATGTTGTGTGGGCCATATGGTTGAAGCGATGTAGAAATATGTTGACGACATCATCTTGACAACAGTAATGGTGACGGTCACTGTTTAGACAGCAGACATTATTCCTCCGGCTGGCTTACATGAATGCGTTCGCACTAACACACTCTCCCATCCTGTCGAGAGCCATGAGCGTGACTCAAAGTGGCTAGACCGGAGGTGCCACATACCTCACGACACACACATACGCAAAACTGCAGGAATAAGTGGCTACAAACAGGACAATACTGTAGATGTTCGTATATACAGGGTTAAGTTATGCTTGTGGACCGTTAGATTTGATGGGCTTAAATTTGGGTCATGATAATTTATCACAATTTCCAACGTTAAATTAGAGTTTAGTGAATTAAAATGATTTCTGAAGACTGAAGAAATTGATTAATGTGCCATAATGGAAAATAAATTACATTTAAAATACTAAAAAAAGAAAACAGTTATTTTGTTAAATGTATTTTTACTGTACCTCTGACCTCTTTATGTCTTTATAGTTGCCGTTTAACATCTAATCGACATATGCTCTCCTTCAATGCGGTTTACTTAATAAGAGTTTTCGCATCCGGCGTCGTGATTTACTAATTTATTCCCGACTGAATTCCTCCTCCGTCATGTCAAGACCTTAGCCGACATCCTGTATCACCTATAGAACATGTTGGCTCTGCATTCACACAAGTCAATAGTTTATATGGGTGCTTTTGCTGAATGTTGCTCTTATTCTCTCTGCTCACTGCCTCCCCTCATTCTTCACCATGAATACCGGTTGATGGCTTAACTAAAGGAATGAAAGCAGCAAAGGAGGTGAGTGTTAAAGAGATGGAGGATTGAAGATGAAAAAGTAAATGAAGGAGAACTCTGTGTCCTTGGCCTTTGTGTGGGACTGGCTGAACTCTGTGGATTTGATGACAGATTGCTTTACATCTGACAGCTTATGTGCGCACCTCATTACTAAAGAGAATGCGAGATTTTCTATATCTTGTTTTTTTTTGTTTGTTTTTTTGTTTTTTTCAAACAAGTTTCAGTTTGTCCTTCATTACCATTACACTTGTATTTGAGGACTTTATCTTTGGTGGTTTGTTTGGTATAAACTCAGTGTATGTTCTCTAAAATGGGGAGGCTTTTGTTTATTTTAGGCTTGCTAGACCAGATGGTTTTTAGGCCTGTCTTTGATGCCAGAAATAGTATGAAAAGGATAAGACGGACTAGGGATGGACGATTAATTCAAAAGTAATCAAAACCGAAATTCAGGTTTGTCAATTGTATGTTTTAAAGGCTTGCTAGTTTGAACATTAAAGCGATTTTACACCTTCCAAGAACAAGAGTATGGTAAACATCTCACTTCAGTGCTCACGAGCTGTTTTCTATGACACAGAGAGCCGGGCCGCGTCATGTCTCTGACAATGCGCGAGCCTTGTTGCCAGATCCATTTCACGTGCGTCTTCACTAAACTTTGTCAATTGTATGTGTTTTAACGCTTGCCATTTTGAACATCGAAGCAATTTTGGACCATCGGATATGTATCACTACATTGGTACTATTACGCTTATGCATTGTGGCACACAAACGCATCCAAAGAACCAAAAAACAAAATAGTCATTCATTAATCACAATCGAGGTAAAATGTTCAATAAATTAAGATTTTGATTTGAGGTCATATCATACAGTCCTAGGACAGGCCATTTCTATAAAAAAAGAATGGGAGAAATCGCAATGCATAATATGTGGCTAGAAGTCCAGCCTATCAGTTTTAAATGAGCAAATTGCCCTTTTTACTATGCTTTAGTGCGTCTAAAAAATATGTTTAGTTTAATATCTAAAATTAAAAATGTAATACAAAATACCATTCCAAAGTTCTTGAAGGCCAAAAGTTGGGTTCTTTGAGTGAAGTTTGTATGAAGGCTGCATTTATTTGATCAAACAATACAGTAAGTACTGTAATACCGTGAAATAATATTACAATTTAAAATAAAAGTTTTATATTTGAATATAATTTAAAGTATAATTTATTCTCATGATGAAAAAGATGAATATTCAGGATCATTACTCCAGTCTTCAGTGTCACATGATCCTTCAGAAATCATTCTAATATTAGGTGCTCAAGATTTTTTATTATTATTATTAACAATGTTGAAAATGATTGTGCTGCTTAATATTGTTGTGGAAAACAATATTTTTTTCAAGATTGTTTGATAAATAGAAAGTTCAATATTTCAAAGGATTGACCCCAACCTTTTGAACAATGGCTGCTCAAGAAGCATTACCAATATGGCCGCCAAGTGCCTTTGCAATGTTTCACCGGAATCACCTCCATTGCAAATTCTATCTGTCCATTGCTATTCTTTGTCTCTCTCTCTCATTCTTTCTATCCACTCACTCTCTCGCAGTTTAATTGCCGCTACCTGAGGTAGGCCTAGGTGTAATTGTTATAGTAGAAAGTGCCTTGGTCGGCTGGTTTTAAAGCCTTTTATCTGTAATCTCCCGATTGATTATGCTTTTTTCTGCCAGCCGAGCAAATTGTTCAAACCCATCAGGTGCACGGCGGGGAAAAAACAGCGAAAGAGGAGCTTCAGCTGTGTAACAGCCAAATCACAGAGCACATCGGCTAGAACATCAAATTTAGTGACAGACAACACAATGCTGCTTTTTAGTTTACACACAGAGACAAATGAAACACAGATGTCTTCCTTGATTTCTCAAAAATTGAAAAAAATGGGGGGAGATTAAATAGTGTGTTATCTGTACTTTAGAAAAACTAAATATGGAAATGATTTTTGGAGTCGTGTAATATATCAGAACATTATTTTGGCTGGAAGGAATCGCAGTGAATGATTCTACACCGTTATTGCAATTCTGCAGGCAGCTTCACAGTCCACCCAGCTTGATCAATATCTTATTCAGCGCTGTTGTATTTTTTAAATACAATACAGTAATGAATACCACCACCCGGGGGACTTGGCATAGCCTCTTATTCTGCATATCTGTCTCAAATGGGCCCTCCTGTTAGCCTGTCATAATGTTAAAAAAATGCCATGGTAGGAAATGCATTAGTCTTGAGCATTAGATTTTAATACAGCGCTAAGGAGCGAATAAGAGGAACTTAATAGCTGAGGTTAATGTGGGTGTGATCCAGAACCAGTTGACAGAAATGAAGACAGATAACTAGAAAAATACAGTTAGTATGCCGGTTAAAATCCCACCCTCCTTTATGTTTTTTTTTTCTCTCTCTCTCTCTCTCTCTCTCTCTCTCTCTCTCTCTCTCTCTCTCTCTCTCTCTCTCTCTCTCTCTCTGTGTGTGTAGCCATCTTCCCAGGAGAGCTATATCTGTCCTGCTAATAGGTCCACCATTGGAGTGGCTCTCTAGTAGCCATGCAGTGAGGTGAAACGTCCAATTTGGCTCTCTCTGGTGGAAGCACTGTCCAAACCCTAACCATCATGTTAGCATTGTGGGATAGAGATGCTGGTTGTAGATTGGCAATGATATGACAGGTGCTGCCTCTGCAATTACGGTAGGTTTTAGTGTGTTTAAGTGTAAGTGTGTGCGGGTCAGGTTTTGCCCATACATTGTGAGGACCAAATGAACCCCAGGACAGTATAAGGAAAATTCACCTACAATGTAGGGAGAGAAAATGGATAATATACTTAGTAAATAATGTAAAAGGGGTTATTTGAGGTGTTTAGATTGCGAAAAAATGGTTTTAACGGTTCTTTTTGATACATATTTTATGAAGTTTATTGAGGATTGTGTCTTTCAAACACATGAAGCGTTTTGTCTTATGGGATTTTTGGGGGTTTAATGAAAATGTCATTTGTGGTGTGCCTTCAAGCAAAATGAAGACCGGTGTTAGTGCAAATGGATTAAATGGCACAGGATTTATCGCATAGGATTTATAAATCCTGAA